CACCGTCACTTAAATTCTATCGTTAAAAGAAAACAAACACCAAATGTCTTTCTCATGGGCAATTGGGTGACGCTCATCTCCATTGGCCGGCCATGAACCAGGAGTGGAAATTACACATTCTTATGACAAGGAGGGCGAGGATTTATTGTGGGAATCACATATAATCAATGCCAGAAGCCTGAAAGGGAATGAAGGGGTCAAACCCGAACGGCATTTGCAACTCGCAAATTTCCCACCGAGCTAAAATGGTTCTGACCACAGAGCCACCCCAGCTGGATTCACACAGGAGCCACACTCACATAAGCGTCGATTAAAAATACACCTCATTTGCACCGATACAGCACCGGACAGTTATTAATATTTGCCAACGGGAAATCCAAAAATTCCCCCCCCCCCTCCCTTGGAATAATGTAACCGCACCGTAATTACCATCTACTCCAAGTGCATGGATTCTGTGGCGAGGCTTTTACCCCCAGGGATTTGTCCTCAGACGTATTTATTTAGCGATAATAACGGTGACGATCGCTCCAGGTGTTCGCTTGGAGCATTTTGGCCCACAGGGCACGATGCGACAACAGGGCTTTTAATAGCAGCTCTGCCAGGGAGGGCACGGGCAACACTCTGATCAATGTGTCCAATTTTCTATGACCCAAGTCTAGAATAACAAACGCAACTCTTTCTACTAAAGTTTAATTCGTATTGGATCATCTTCATGAGATTTCATCATGCACCCCCCCCCCCCCATCATCCCCACGCAAACCCGTGCGTTACAGACAGACTGACAGACAGAGCGCACGCGTTAACACCGTCTGCCTTGCTTTGGATGGAGCGTGAAAAAGACGAGACGTGCATTGTCCCGTGGAAAAATTCGAGGCATCCGAGAGAGGCACCGCCCATCGTGGCACGCGCCCCATATATCCGTTGACCGGCAAGCCAAGTTGCTGGATGACGCCGAGCTCCGAGATCCTCGTCAGTTTGGTCTGAGACAGTTTCTGCACGTTCCCCCGCCCGCCCGCGTGCGCGCGGGGCTCCGAGCGTCCTGGTGGGGCGACGCGACGTGTGACACCGCCCGTCAAAGTCGCCGCACCCGCTTTGCCCCAGCGTGCAACAGCAGCGTCTCGGCGGCGAGCGTCAACCCGGACTTACAGGAAGGCCCTCGCGAAGTGTGTAGGCTCGTACCGCCGTGTACACGAGGCACATTAACTGGGAGGGGGGGGGGGGGGCCTTATTAGCGTCCTCCTGGTGGCGCAAAATAATGAATAACCAGGGGAAATTAGACAAAAGGTCCAATTTACATATGAATGTGCGCATTCGTGTTTCTTATGCAACGGCGGCTCGCTTTGCATGTCGGCGAGAATCTATTGCTAAAAAAATTGCTAATCTGAACATTTTTTTGAGAGCACAGAGGCAGTCCCTACCCAATTAGTCCTGATTAGGGTGGTTCATCAACGTACGAGCGCACGCGAGCGCACATTCGCCAACGAGCCCGCCGCACAATATTGATGGCACGCGATTAGAATCGAGATATGTAACGCACAATTTCAATACATCATCATATCTCACAGGCCTGATTTATCGCATGGTCAATATTTTATGTAAATGTTGGGGTAAAGCATCGGCTTTCTTAATTGAGCTAGAAGCAAGCATTCGGCTAAGTGCCGAGTCACCAGGACCTCACAACAAACTTGGCCACGTGGCAATTGGTCGCAAATGTGCTGAATTTCGGGCGTCCTTTAATTGGTTTTCATTCAATTGTTTAAATCTCGTCCGCATCATTGCTGCACTTGCAAATTCTCACTCAGGTGGTTATTGGCTAGGGAGACAATGGCAGAACATTTTTGGTCTGCGCTTCTATGCGGACCGCCAACGCGGCCCAAGAAAGTGTGTAATTTAAATCTTGGCAAATGGTGTCAAACTTCCTTTTCTCCGAACAGACAAAGCTGGATGAGCGGCACGCACGCCGTGCGTCCGGAGACAAGCAGGAAATGTATAAGTGGGCCATCTAATGACCGAGCAATTAAAGTACACTCTTACGCTCATTATGCACGCATCAGATTGCGCGTGAGAATTGATTATTTTATTATTCATGATAATGTTATTCCAATTTTTGAAAATTGATTACCATCTCCAAAAGCACCGTATCACTTGGGGGTGGGGGGGTTGAAATAAATGCTTTGGTGGGAACAAATGCATAAAATCGTGCAAAATAATCACGGTGATATGCGCGTTAAAACTGTAAAATCTCAACTGAACTATTTTTATACTCTTTGGTTCTTTCGGTAAAGTCACGTAGGTATTTTATTCTATACCTACGTGACTTTACCGAAAGATCCAAAGAGTATGGATTCCCTGCAGTCACGAAAGCCTCAAATCAAGATTGAACTATTTTTATTTTACCAGGTAAGGGCCCACTGAGCCACGTTGCTCTTTTTCAGAAGCGACCTGGCCACAAATGATAGCCCAACCAAGTGGCTCATCGTCACGTGGAAATGTTTATAGCACCCAAATACTCAAAACGCGTTATGTTGATTCTAAACCAACATGTTGATTCTAAATCAACATGCGTTTTGTCAGAACCAAAGTAAACACTTCGAAAGTAAACACTTTTATACCAAGTAAATACTTTGAAACCGGCAAGAAAGGTAACGTGTCGGAGTTGCTCGCCCCGAGCTATAAATACGCTCTGATAGTGGCATTGTCTTTGTGCTGTTCGCCTTTTGGCGTTCTTCTCTGGTCTGACACTGGTACTGAGACAAGGCCCCCGTCTCTGATGTAGGCCAATCGGTTTCAAAGACAATGCCAATATATTATTATCAGAGCGATGTTTGTTTGCATGTTCACAACAAGTAGTGTCTGTGGTCAGTGCAGACGTGATTCCTTGCAAGAGGTTTATATTCGGTGTTTCAACATCTTAACACCTGTTTCATTGCCAGAAAGGGTAAAACCTAAACGTCGTTAACAGGGCAATGGTCGGTAAGCGAACACATTGGGCTCTATGGAGGCACTACACTACTATACACTACACTGTACACTACACACTGGGCTCTATGGAGGCCCGTCGCTAAGTGATTAGTCGTTAACAGGGGCGGTCGTTAAGAGGGATTCCACTATACTTCTGATAGCCAATGGCCGAGACTGGGAATGGAATCGGAGCCAAAGGAGGACATGCCCGAGAGGGTGACCGCGACGGATATGGAGCGATAAGATTGGCTCATGTGCTGCAGATAAGAGTATGGCATCCCAAGACTATGAGGTGCATGCATGTACGCATGTACGCTGAACTTCTTTTGCACCGTACGTAGCCAACCGTGCTAATCGGAGGTGCAAGGAACTTATGGATGGCAAATGACATCATAATGGATCAGGGACACGATGCTTAGCTGGAAGGAATGATTATAGATGGCCAATAATAATAAGACGGATTGTTTTGCCAAGGAAAGGCACGCGTCCGAGACAAGAGTACGTTCACCGGCGAGATGGAGCAATGGAACAAATTATCTCGTCTGTAGTAGGTGGTAGGTAGATAGGGTGCTATGTGGATTATTAACACGTAGGATCGTGAGAGATTGCGTATAGGTTTTGAGGTAGCCTTCATCCAGCAGTGGATTGACCCTTGGCTGTTGATGATGATGATGACGATGAAAGGTTACCGTTACATTTCCGCAAACGGAACGGCGAGGCAACGCAGAAAAAAAAATGAGAAGAATAAGATTCTGACACGGAACCACGACGCGATTCAAATTACCGCGGGGTGTAAAAACATTTCCATTTAAAGCTTTCGTGACTGCAAGGATTCATCTTCTTTGGTTCTTTCGGTAAAGTCACGTAGAATGAGAATAACATTTTATTGCTTTATTTTATTATTTTATTCTCATTCTACGTGACTTTACCGAAAGAACCAAAGGTGGTGTAAAAACATGTTGCGAGTATGGAAGACTCCATCACAGAAAGGTGCCCGGGGATGCCTCGCCACCCTCCGTCAATGCTCCGCACTTTCAGATTTGCCGCGGACAGAACCGCGTGGGGCGCGTGCCGATGGCGGGGGGGGGGGGGTGAAACGACGGTCTCCGAGAGCGCGGTCGGCGGTGACGCGAGGCAGAAGATGGGGCGTTGATTCGACGGCTCAACGCCGGTGGTGCCGCTCCTGCGTGCCGCGCCACGGAAGAGTTGCCGCTAGCGCGCCGGCCGCAGCCAAAGCGAACGTACTCAAGTGGCGAAATATTTTTTTGCTTGTTATCTGCGCTCGACGGTACCCTTAGCTGGACCCAGCTCGACAAGAGCGGTGGGACAGTTTGTTCTCAACTCTGCAATGGAAATATTTTGGATTGCGAGCACTCAGTGCTCCGATAAGGAATTAAACCCCCCCCCCCCTCCAGATGCGCTTCTGCGGCCGTCTGGGAATGCTCTTCCTTCCGATATTCAGAAGCCAATGGGAGCTCTGTACTTTGAACTCTCGACTGAAAACTCATTTCTTTGGAACTGCTTTTTGCGTTTTAGTTTGTTGTTCCTTCCCATGCGCCTCTGCAGAGCACGGTTGACTACATACGGTGCGCGAAAGAAGTTCAACATGAAACAAAGAAAAAAAATCTCCCCGGATAGCCTTTAACAGACTGTTGAGGCAAGTGCTGTTCGCGAGCGCCTATGAAGGCCGGCACGGCACACGAGTGGGTGGCCAACACCACGGCCGGCCGCCTTTGTCTCCCTATAGCGGCGATGTTTACACACTGCACCAGGCACTCATTTAAGGTTGAGTCGACCTAGGGGAGGAGGCTCGGGACCGATTACGTTAATCGTCACCGGTGTTCGTGGCCGTGAGCAGGAATCGAACTCGGGTCGCCGGGTTCGTAGAGCAGCACGCTAACCCACTACACGACCGCGCTCCCCACAACATACATTACGTACACACGAACCCCCGCGGAATCACCGCCTTGACCGCGGCACAGCACGGGAGCCGTCGACGCAGTGCTCGGGTGGGGCGGGGGGCGGGGGGGGCCACTCACGTTGTCGTGCTTGAAGAAGCAGAGCATCTTGAGCTCGCGGAAGACCCTCTTGCAAGAGACCAGGTTCTGGAAGACGTTGGGCATCTTCTTGAGCGCCACTCGCTTCCCGTCCCGTGGGTCGGTCACCGACCTGCCGAGGGCACAACGCGCGAGCGCACACACACACACAGGGAACGTCAGCGACAGCCACCGCGTGGGCGCTTGTGTCGGGCGAGGAGTACGGGGGCTACGTGCGCTTTCACGCGGTCGTGTGAAGTGTGGGGAAGGCTCGCTTGGCAGGAGGTGACGGGGGCGCAGACCCAGGTTGTTACGAGTTAACCGAGACCGTCCGGCAGACAGAAGCGCCACGCGTGCTGCGCACCTGCTGCACACACCAGCACCGCCACCCAATCATCAAAAACAACAACAGGGGTCCGCGGCCACGAACCTGCGTGCAATTTACCAGCATTGGTTCAAGCAAGGGCGATTCTGCTGATGAGCACAACCGATGCCAAAACCGCTCCACGGTCCTTGCACTGAACCGATGTTTTAGGCAGAGACAATTATGCGGAGGCTCAAAGTATTGCGTTGAAGGACATGCACGTCAAGTACTCCACGAAAAATACTGCCAGGCCCATATCAGCCTCGGTCACCGACGTCGTAAAGCATCAGCGCAAACGCAACATCCCACAATGCAATTCCGACTTGCACGAAGGTACTTCCGCGTGTAATGAAAGAGGACGTTCGATTCAAACAAGGGAAGAGGGGGTTATGGTGGGGGGGGGGGGGTCAAATTATTACACAGTGACGCCTACAGGGAGACAAATGTAGAAGAGATAGGGAAGAGGCTCGAGAGGAGAGAGAAGTCATTTAGCATCCAAATTGGAGAGAAGAAGTCTCATTTAGAAGTCTCGCGTTCGGACTTAACAGGGGGTTTTGTGGCGGGGGGGGGGGGAGAGCCTGCGGTGAAAACGTTCGGAAGATTGAAGAGTTCCAGACATCGGCAGAAGAGATGAGCAAAACCGACACAGTGGGCCTTGACTGCTCGAGTGGAGGGGAAAGCAAGAGCGGGATTAGAGGGGAGAGGTCAGGCAGGGGTGACGACGACAACGTTGAGTCCGCAGGAGGACCTTGAAGAGGGCGAGGGCGATTTTGCGCTATTTGTGGAAATCGTAGAATTATATTTGGGGACCGGCGGAAGATCCTTGGGTGTCCAAGGGTGCGACGTGGACATTGTTTACGGGCACGGATACAAATCACAAAACAAAAAAACAAACTTCATGTGACAAAGCAGTCTTCTTTGACGCCAACATCGTCGACGGTACTTGCATTTTAAATCAATAGGGGAGGGGGGTGGTGGTGGGGGGTCCAATGGCACGGACTCCAACGCGCACGCACGCTCCAATATCGCAAGCAGCAGCGATCGATACAAATAACAAGGTTAGATATTAATTACCGTGGGTTCCAAAAGTCAAACGCAGGTAGAAATATGAACACACACACACACAGACAAATAACGACGCAAAGCGTACAGACAAAGAGGCGATGTTGAAGATGCTGCAGTGGTGTCTCGGTTAGCAAGAAAACTGGACTTGCGACTGGATCTCCCGGTGCGGCAGTTTGAAACAAAGGCAAGAGTTTACTAAATTAACTATATTTATTTTGACCTAGTAAAGCACACTAAGCTGAGTAGCTCTTTTTCAGAAGCGACCTGGCCACAAATGACAGCTCAACGAAGTGGGCTTATCACGTGGACATTCGTAGCAGCCAAATACCCTAAACGCTTGATGTTGATTCTAAATGTGGAGGGCAAAACCGGAGGACGCGGAGAAAAATCCAAACGACCACGGGGCGAGAGACATGCAAACTCCAATCGTACAGGCGTCAGGGTCAGGATCAAACCCACGACCTCCTGTATACCAGGCGAGGTAATTAACGTCTCGCCGACACCCCTCCGTCCTCCCAGCAGCAGTGCGGATGGAGACTGACGGTTTATCCATCGGCAGCTCGCGTGTATTAGGACCAGAGTTTGGGTTACTCTCCCACCTCTCTCCCAAGGCATCTGGCCGGTGTGGAAGATGAGGCCAACCACCCTGTAAGAGAGGCCCTCTGGAGCAGCATGAGCTGGCAATTGCAGGGCTGCACCTGAACCGTTTACATCGAATGTTTGCTCCATTATTAGACCAAAGTAAAACCGACGATGTGTGTGCGATAAAAATATGCAAGAATCCAACTTTTGCCCCAGTCCCGCAGCACTGGGCCATGCTCTCCCCAAGGAATAGTTTCCATCTCTTTGCGGCAGTTTAGCATAACTGGACAGTGAGGGGGAAAAAATATGCACATTTAACGTAGCACAAGATGGCACTCGGATGCTCAAAATATGTTTTGTATTAAAATAGAGGACGTTAAAAGTGCGTACACCGCATCGTGCGTTCACTACTTATCAATCGATAACAGCCATCAGTAAGTGTGAGTTTTATTTATTTTTTCTCGCAAGCAAATCGATTCCTCCCATAAACTATAAAAAAGCTGCCTCCTTAAACCAGAGCGGGGGAGTTTTTTTTGCCACAACCATAACTATTGAAATATTAAAATGTGATCGTCATATTAGTATCCTGGGTTACGGCACAGAATGCTATTCCCTTGAAAACGATGGAATCTGAAATACGGAACTAAAGGTATAGGTTGGTGTGTAAAAAAAAAAAGTGAATATGTACACAACTAGGACAGTTACGCCGTGCACAAGTGCTGCACTGCGGCGTGGGTGGTCAATGTGGTCAGGGTGGGTGCGTTACGATTGGATACGCGACGTTACACTTGCGCGTGGATTCCACTCTCGTAGAGGAGATGGGCACGCCTAATGGGAAAAACGGCACTGGACTGGAGAAGGCACAACTTGCTCTCCGCACACACATCACGTGACGAGCTTCGTGGTGGATAAAGCTCTGTTCCGTTTTTCACGGGACTCTGGCAAGACCGCTTCACGTGAAACCAGCAGTAGTCGCTCAGGTGGCGCTGCAGATTTTTCGACGCGGGCCAAACTGTCTCGCTCACTCGCTGTCGGAGCAGCGGGCACACCGCACGTGTCGCGGTACCTACTGCGCGCGCTTGCGTGTCTACTGGCACTTCGTTCTGCAAGTTGCGCTGCTCAAGCCTTAGAGTGCATCTCACAACAAATTTTTTTTTTATTTTACCAGGTAAGGCCCCACCGAGCTCTACAGCTCTTTTGTCAGAAGCGACCTGACCACAACTGATAGCTCAACGAAGTGGCTTCTTATAATGTGGAAATTTATAGCAGCCAAATACCCTGAACACAAGATTATAATTGTGGAAGGAAACACCGGAGGACCTGGGAGAAAAATCTACGAGACCACAGGGAGAACGTACAAACTCCAAATATGTAGGCGCCAGGGTCGAACGCCACCGTGGAGAGATCTGTTGCTGGTGGGTAATAAAACTGGCAGATTAGTGCCATTATTGGGCCCAATTTGATGAGTTTTCTTTTGGTAGTTGGCAGGAAGGCACTTTCCATCAACAAGACAATCAAACCACTAGCGGCCGAAGAGTTATCGCACTGAAAACATAAAACCTACCGTAAAATTAATTAAAAAGGTCATGATAAATGACTGCCCAGTTATTATTTGGTTAGAGTGGCAAATTCGCGCGGTAAAAGCAGCGTACGTACTGCTTGACATGTTTTATTATACTGGAAATGTTTTCACGACGTTGCATTTGTTTTTTACCCCAGGTTTCCGCTTGCAAATTAGATTTTTATTTTAGAGGAGTTCTCACCCGATTATAAATATTAAGGAAATATAATACCCTTTGTCCAATGGCACATATCTGAACCGAGCCAGCACGGAGCCTTCGAAGTGTGGGTTGGTTTTTCCCACACGCAAACTGCCGTGCCGAACCAGAACCAAACTGTGATACGACATCCGAATCTGGCTCGGGGCCAAGCAGGGCCAAGGGGCGTCGGGAGTGGAGAGGCCAATGACGCATTGTTTTCGTGCGACGTCGTTTACGACGCGCCGCTCGCAAGCGGCACGGTTCAAGCTCCCGCGGTGAAAAACAACCCGGTGCCTCCTGGATCGCACCTAGGGCTCGCTCGGCATAGCCCAGTGGGAAAAGGGGCTAAACGTCGTCAAAGAACACCGTTTGCCACCTGAGACGAGTGAACGGGAAAAAAATCAGGGCAGGAAAGCGCGCGGGGAAACGACAACGACGTCCAATCCGGGCCGGTGCTGGGGACGCAGCAGCCTTTGTGTTAACTTTACTTTCAGCACCAAGGAAACGTCTTCTATTGAAACTTCAGTCAACGCACTCAGAAGTCTGGTTTTTTTTTGTTCCAGCGTGGACTAAAACGCACGGCCGATCCACGTGGCCATTTCGGTGCGCGTGCACCGCGCGTCCGCGTGGGTGTCTGCGTGTGGCCGATGCGCTAAATGCGGCAGGCTGGGGCTGAATTTGCTGGAACGGCGCGGCGGAACGCGTGACGCTGGAAGACGCGAAAGGGCACGCGTTACTTTTAAGGCACCTTGGAGTGGGGGGGGGGGGCTGCTTTTGACAAAGGGCCCGCCGCTTTGAGTGAAGTGTTAAATCGTTATTATCGCCGTCACAATCGCCTTTGATGCAGACTTGCAGCGGCGGCGGCGCACGTTCCGCGAGCTTCTCGCTGCTGCGCCCACAGGTGCAACGCTCTGTGCTCGTAAAGGCCCACTCCGGGGCTACACGGCGCATATCTTCACTTTAGGGTTTTTTTTACCCCTTTCGTGTCGATGGATTAAATCTCGCCCACGGCTGGGCGATTCCTCTCTTTGTGTGGGGGGGCAGGGGGCGCCGAGAGGCGGGGGGTGGGGGCGGTTGGCAGGGTAGGTGGGCAGGCTTGGAGCAAAGTATGTGATTGTTACAATAATGTTAAAAAAGAATGGTCAAAGAGGCACGCACAAAAAATACAAAGATCCTCCGTTTAGCCTGTAACAGACTGTTGGGGGCAAGTGCTGTTCGCGAGCAACTATGACGGCCGGCACGGCACACAAGGGGGTGGGATGCCAGCACCACGACCCAGTGGTGATGTTTAGACACCGCACCAGGTATTCGGTTGAGGCCGAGTCGACCTAGGGTAGGCCCAGGACCGGTTTAAATAATCGT